GCGAGGGGGCAGGGCGCGTGCCCTCGCCGTCGGTGGGGCGGGCGGCGGCGGCGTCTCCCTTGCGCTCGTTTGTTTGGGTTTTTGGGTGGTTCTTTTGGGGGGGGCGGTGGGGGGGGTGGAAACTTGGTGCTTTCTCGCAAATCGCGGTCGTTGTGTGAAGCTTTCTCCCGCGGGACGACGGTGCGCTGAGGGAAAGCTCCGCGGTTCAGCCGCTGATTTTTGGGGCCGTGCGCTTGTTTTTACTTCTTTTCTCCTCCGAAGGAAGGCCCGTGGAAACCTCCCCGCAGGTTTTCATTGCGGGTTTTAAAATGCTGCGGGTGTTGGGTTTGGGGTGGGTTTTTTTGTTTGGTTTTTTTCCCAGCGCTTGAAATCAACACTGGCACGCAGACCACTTCTAAAATAAATGCTAATGTGTTTCTATCTCTCCAGTTATAGTGTGAAGAAAGATATTTATGGTGCTTGTCTACCCACCCTATGAACAGACAGGTCAGTACCTAAAGTAAGTGGGTTTGATGCTTCAAGTAACTTGGGAAAATGAATTTCAACATGCAAGATGCACTGTCATTCATACATATATGTATTTAACCTAGTTAAACTCAAAATGTTGGTGGCATGCAGAAGTTCAGTCCATTTTCCTTTGCAGGCAGGAACTCCTTTTGCTTGACGTAAGGTTTAGAAAGTGATCCTTCTAATATGCTCCTGTGTGGCCCAGTGTACTTAATTGGGTGTGGAAAATACATATTTATGCTGTTTCTTGCTTCAGGATGATGTTGTTTTAATAATGGAATGCAACTACTTTTTGATACGTCATTAAAATATTTTATTTTGCTTCTTGCCAACAAGTGGGCAATGTTAGCAAGAGTTACTTATGTTAAAACTCTCTTTAAACTGTGGAGCATCAATGTGACTGGTAATTTTCTCTTAAAACTGGCTGATGATTAAGATAATAAAGCTATTACCAAGCCAAGCCAAGAAAGTATTGGAAGAGTACATTGGCAGTAAACAAGGAGCCCATATAGATTTAGAAAAGGGGTTTAATGGGTGTAAAAAATGACATTCTGGAAGCGAGATGTGTCAGGCTGAAATGAAGAGTTTCCAAAAGCCAATCTGAGTTAGATTTCACAACCGAAATCAGAAGACAAGGAAAGCTGCAGCAGTGGGCAAAGCTTAAGAGTGTAGCTAGTCCCAGAACAAAACAAGTAACTTGCTTCTTTTTGGAATGTGAACATCGATATTGGACCATGGGTACACAGGCTGAAGAACCCACGGGGTTTAGAATATGGAAACTTTGTGAAGAAGCATTTGTTCTGCCTTCTCCCTCACCCCTCCGGCTCTGGTTGGAGCTAAGGAGCAGACCGTGTGTTGCAGGTACAACAGGGCTGACCCAGTGTGCTGTGGCTGTGGACCGTAGAACAACTTTTAGCTCCTGCCCTCAGCACAGATTGGCATTGGCAATTGCTGAAACAGCTGGGCAGCCCCGAACAGCCACTGGTATATTCCACGGTCAGTATGGAAGAATTAGGAGATGGGAGTCAGGATAGATCACGCCAGGCTAACTTGATATTTCTGTGCAAAAACAACTGGTTTCTGAAAATGAGAAAGGCAGGAAAGTTCTCATTTTTGTGTTCCTCTGACACTTCTAAGCTTGCCGTCTCCCACCAGCCACCTTTTTTCTCCTTGACCTGTGTGGAGCATAAGAATTTTTGATATGGGGATTGTCAGTACTCAGAGGTACTGAAAGGCCCTTTGGGGTGAAGAGCTGCCTGGCCAGAGGCGTGCAAAAATAAAGGATGAACAGAAATTACAGGAAATGTAAAACATATTTGAATTCTAGGAAACCTTTCTAGAGAATGTGAACGTATAAACAGCCTTATCGTCAGTATGCATGTTTCATGTCACCTTTGGGTTTGCCTAACATAACTACATGTTAGATTTGCTTAGATTTAGTAACTATTCATTGCAAGATCTGTGAGTTAACTGTATATTTTATATTTTATGTGTAGAGTGATAATAATAGGCTCCGCATTAATATGCACACACATGCACACAAACATACTTCCTGAATACATCAGCAGTTAGAAGAAAGATGCCTACTTTAATGTTCTTAAAACCTCCTTTATTTCTTGCTGAAGCAGCCTATGTCTATTATAGACACCCACCTTGCATCTCTGGCAGAAAAATCCACCTGTACTCAGCAGCCGCCAGCATTGTGTCTATATGGCTGTGGTTGTGTCTATGCATGAGATCCTTGAGTGTGCACTAGCCCCAGCCTACCCATTGCTCTCATTTCCTGAGGCAATGAGAGATGGTGAGCATGCATCTACATGTAGGCACTGTGGGAAATGAGCAGACTGGCACCTGAGGGTGGAATCTGGCATCATTAGCATGACAATGTAGACACACCCCTTCTAATAAAAAGTTGGTGGTGGCAAAACACCAGGCCGTTCTTGAGGAAAACACAGAATTTTCATGTAGCGTAATCTAGTTGACGAAATGAGATTTTTCGAGGAGTCTCAACTGATTCAGGGCTTCAGGCCTTAAGACAGAATCACTGAATCCTTTCACATTCCTTAAGCATTTCCCATTTTGTTGTTTCAGGATGCTCACCAGAACCCCAAGCGTTGTTGCCCAAGTCTTCCTTCTTCTAAGCATAGTTCTTGTCATTGCTATTGCAGTGTTTCAGTTAAATCAGCAACAGATCCTCTCCCCAGGGCTTAAGGTAAGTCTTAGAATACCTAAGGAAGGAGAACAATGTTTTGAACTGATATTTAGTGATGTTCCTTTCTAAACTAATTGTTGTGGGGTGATTCAAATAAACTGTTGTTTAATCACGTCTTCATCATGGGAAAACTGAAGCTGAGAGAAAAAGAGAATTGGTCAAGAGCACAGAGTCAGACGAAAAGCATTCCTTGATTCCCTGTCTGTAATGCCCACCACACAATGTTTTCTCCAGGACTGAAAGGCCAAGCGAGGAGAAAATGCCACTGTTTTTTTATTTTTGCCAGAGATTGGAAGTAATTTTAAAATAATTTTGAAGTGGGTTATACCTGGAGTTTAAATTCTGTCCCCAAGCACAGCTAGGAATTTCATGCTGAAATCTTTGCAAACTACTCCTGTGGATCAAAAGCTGGGCTGTAAGTGTGCACTTTATGATTTACCACATGTTGGGACTTGCTGGATATTAACAGAAGCAACGTAGCTTCATGAGGAGGGGCAGAACAAACTGGAAAAGACAAACTGAAATACTCTGGAATTCGGGCTTTGCCTTGTGCTGCTGGAGTATGTGTGCAGTTATTCTTCAGTGAGATGTACACAATTGAGGACAAAGCTGTAGAAATTAGCCTTCTAGAGAGGCTGTGCAGTCTGGCATTTTGAGTTCTTTGGTTTTTCTCACGATAGCTACAAGCATATAAACCTTGTCAGATCCTTCTTTGAAGTCCTTTCTACCTTTCCCTCTGCGTATATATTTAACTGGATAGTTCACATACTGATGGCGATAGGCTAATGTCTCATTACACTTCATGGGATTACAAACACCTTTGGCTTTGTCTGAATCATTTGGTGGTGTATGAGTCAGACAATGGGATAAAACTGTATTCTGATACCAGCTTTATGTGTTTGTGTGGTGTGGCAGGGTATGTGTGCTGGAATCTTGCATGGGGACACAGTGCCTCAAGCTTACTCCCTGTTATGCCCCAAACTGCTTGCAGCAGCCTTACATCCTGCCAATTTTCATGCAAGGCAAGGCTGGACTGACACGTAGGCTGAAGCCACTGTCTAAAAGACAGCCTGCACATCACTTGCGTTTGTCATTAGTTCAGTTACACATTCAGAATGATAAAATTGTCTACCTTACTCTTTGAGCAAACCATCTGGAGCTGGTTGAGGTCAGGAGGTCTGCTTCCTGAATCACAACAGCTTCATGGCTGGTCCTGTAGGAAGACTGGTGGTTCCTCTGCTAGGTGCCTTGGCTTTAAATTTCTTTTTGGGCTGTAAGCCTGCCAATGCAGAAAATCCCAGCTGATATGGAGGACCCTGTGTTTGATTCCTGAGACTCTGGGTAGTCCTCAGTGAGTGATTAACACTCGCAGGAAGTAATTCTTCAGGAGCAGAGGGAGGACTTTGATATGCCAGTGTGAAATCCTCCAGTACTTAGTTGATATGATGGAGCCTGGAAACGGCAGTGTCCTGAAGTTAGTGATTGATTAAAATTAAATAAGGCAGTAACATGATTAAAACAGACTTACTCTTTATAAATGGCCTTGTTCTTCTTCTGGCTCTTCTCCATGAAACCAAAGCAGCAACTGAAGGATAACTGGAGTTTGTGTTATCTGCTTCATAATAGCTCTTTCCCAGGATGTGCATTTAGAGCATCCAGGTTCGTTCCTTTGTGGCACAAGAGATAAATTATCTGCTACGCCACTGATGTTTTAAAGTGTTGTTGCAGAATTAAATATTTTGGTTCCTTGGTGGTTGGGTATCTGAAGATTCAGCCAGTGATTTGTGAAGGAAGGACCTGCCCATGTGCATGAGGCTGAGGCACTCAAAGAACTTATGACTCATTGGCACACAATGTGAAGTCAGAAGACTGATGAAGAGAGCACAAACATCCTTAGTGACATAGTTTGTGAAGAAGTCCAGAATTGTAAATTATGCTAGCTCTGAATGTAATGAGCCTTTGTTGTAGTGGTTTGATAGTAGTATCCATGGAGCCTTTCACCTTTTAGTTGATCAGGTGAAGTATCACCTGGATAAATATAAATTTTCATTATCTAACAGTCCTCTAGGAAACACACCAGACTGGTATTGCTGGTAGTTCTTTGGAGGCCAGGAGTTTGTAGGATTACAGTGGAAGCTGGGAACTAATGAGGTGTGGAAGCTGAATGGTTTGCCACCTGAAGCAGTGATCTTTCTCAGTCAGACCTGAGGCTCCCCAGGGAGGCAGTGGGATGAAATTTATTGGCCTGCTGCAGGGGCTTTTACTGCTTTGCAGCTAGATGGAGGCTCTCATTTTTCAGTATTGTCAGGCTCCTGGGCATCTGTCTTTTTTTAAAGAAAAAAAGTTGACAGAAAAATGAACCCTACACTGTGATTCCTTTGTGATTCCAATTAGATGACTTTGGAAGAGGGGGCCAGCTAAACGTCCTTTCAGCGGTCATAAAGAGGTGTTGTGGTTTAACCCCAGCCACCAGCTAAGCACCACGCAGCTGCTCACTCACTTCCTGCTCACCCACCCAGTGGAATGGGGGGGAAAATCGGGAAAAGAAGTAAAACTCATGGGTTGAGATAAGAACAGGTTCATAGAACAGAAAGGAAGAAACTAATAATGATAATAATAACAATAATAAAAAATAATAATAATAATAATAAAAGAATTGGAATATACAAAACAAGTGATGCACAACGCAATTGCTCACCACTCGCCGACCGATGCCCAGTTACTCCCCAAGCAGCATTCCCTACCCAGGCTAACTCCCCCCAGTTTATACACTGGGCATGACGTCCCATGGTATGGAATACCCTGTTGGCCAGTTGGGGTCAGCTGCCCTGGCTGTGTCCTGTGCCAACTTCTTGTGCCCCTCCGGCCTTCTTGCTGGCTGGGCATGAGAACCTGAAAAATCCTTGACTTAGTCTAAACACTACTTAGCAACAGCTAAAAACATCAGTGTGTTCTCAATATTATTCTTGTACTAAATCCAAAACATAACACTATACCAGCTACTAGAAAGAAAATTAACTCTATCCCAGCCAAAACCAGGACAAGAGGATAAGCAAAACTGTGGTTTTCTTCCCTTTGTGCAGTTTGCCTTCCTAGTTGCTACAGTTTTCTGCTGCCATAAAAGATGGGAAAGGGGAAAAGACTGGTCTGGTGAGCAGTAGAATGGGATGGAGAAACCTGTCCTTCAATCCCACAGAGAGTCCAGGTGACCTGGGACAAGTCACTTAAATATTTCTCATTTACTTCATAAATAAACATGGGGTAATATTGATTGTCTTTCCCTCTTTGTTGTCTCACACTCTGGCGCAACCTGTTGTCAGTGGCAAACTCTCATGTGGACTGCCTAAACCACTCAAAGGGAGAGGTTTGTGGGGCAATTAGAAAAGAACCAGAATGTTACATCATTCTCACTGTGGACTATTATGTACTTTACCTCTTTGCTCGTAGCTTCATGGATCCCTTGTGCATCCTTGAATCTAAAGCCTGTGCTTAAGTATCAAACCCTTCAGTGTGCAGCCAGCGTAGCTGTGATAATGGGAAATGAACTTGCTGCAAAATCAGGTCATAACACAGTGTTATCTATGTGTCAGTGTGGATTCTGAACCTGATGCTGAAAGGAAATGAGTATTCTCCATCCCCACTGAATTCATTATTGAAGATATGTAGTATGTTCTTTGTTTTGCAGCCAGATTCATTCTGTGCTTGGCTGTTGGATTCATGCCTAAGCGCCTAACACTAGAATTAATCTCTCTTGTAAATATACTGTGCATACATTTTCTAAAGTATTTGATGGTGCAAGGAAGTACAGCTGCATATGGGCCTTTAAGCTGTCACTGTTTGTTTCTTGATCTAATGGTGTTTTTTTTTTTTCTCCCCAGTATGGAATAGTCGTTGATGCTGGATCCTCTCGGACTACAGTCTATGTCTATGAATGGCCAGCAGAAAAAGAAAATGACACAGGAGTAGTAAGCCAAACCTTCAAGTGCAATGTGAAAGGTGAGCTCAAATGGAAGTTCTTTATTTCTTTCTAGCCTCCAAGAAGAGGTTAACTGGAAGCTTATATAGTTTTTTTCGGCTGTGTTCCCTTTTCAGTGCTGGGAAGCAAGAACTGTTGAGACTGTCTATATCTGTCAGCATCAGTCCTTCTCCTACTGATACAGCAGGGTGGTCTAATCTGCAATGGAGAGAGGAAATTTTAGCTAAACTGGATTTACTCCATTGCAGTGCATGATTGGTGCAGACAGAATTCTATCTACAGGGAATCAGGCCCTGTAAATGTTTAGTCCTTGTGCCCTGAAATAATTTCTTTTAAAAGGAAAGTATAAAATATATTTAAAAATAGCTTGGAATAAAAAATCTTTGAGAAGAATGGGGATCTAGCCCTTGTTAGATGTTAGCCATTAATTTTGATGGAGGCAAAAATGGTTGTCACCTATGCTATAGGTGTTTGACAAATTAGTTTTTATTTTCCGGAAGTCTTAGTGATGTTTAAAAAAAAAATAACCTTTGCTGTTTGAGTAAGGTTTCCTAGAGAAACAAGGCTTATGCAGTTCATCTGTAATTGTTCTGTAATTACTTGGAAAGAGGCAACGGAGGGGAAATTATGAAAGGCATGCGGAAGGTGAACAGGAAGAGCTTCTCCTTACTACAGAACTAGGGAGCGTCTAATAAAATTATCAAGTAAAATAGCTAAATTGCAGAACTGTTTCTGACAGGATGTCATAGTTGTATCAAATATGCAGGTCTGGCCTTTGGCTCAGGAAGATCTATAGTTGTGCACTGCTAGAAGGTGTCCCATGACAAGTACCGCTGGCTACCTGCCTTGTCTTTTATATGAGGTTTTGCATTGATTCCTCTCAGAGGGAGGATGCTGGACTAGACTGACTTTTGCTCACACCCTGATATGATTAAGTATATGTTCTAATAGCTTGTTGTGGATTCCTTCATAATAGCTTTTGAATCTCTTAGTCAACTTCAGTGATATTTGACTAAGCTTTCAAAGATACCAAAGGTCCATAAATTTTATAGAGACAGGTGACCAGGCAGGGGAAATAAATCCACATTATTAAACAGTAGCTAGACCACAAGGGATTTCTACAGGAAGCCAAGCTTCATAAATTCTGCTTGTCTGAGTAATGAACTTTAGCTTGTCCTCTAAAATACTGACTTCAGCAGTACTGCTTTATTTAGTGTACTGGTTTGGGTTTGCAAGTTAGGTAAGAGGAGAAGGTAGGGCAACTCAGGAAGTCTCAGTGCAGATTTTGTTATCTCTGATAATAACTTGATAATAACTGTGGCATTCAAAGATAATTTTTCCCTTTCCTTCTCTCTTAGTCATGATCATGCAAAATCCTGCATCCCTCTTTGTGTCTGGAAATAGATGCTGGAGGTGTAGCCATAGAGGTCCATGAGTAACTAGGAAATGAGTAGAAGGCAATGGTTTCTTAACAGCACCAACATTTCTATTTTCAGCGTTAAATACATGTGTGGACATTCTTAGCAATTTTAGAACAGGGAAGGGAAAGCAAGTATAACATGCGCAGAAATAATGCACTGTCATGTGCCTGGTGGTGGGTCCTTACAGACTGCAGGAATGGTGGCCAGCCTGCTGAAGTGGGGGGTGCACTCTGCTAGCTCATGTCTTGACTCATTAGGAATGTTGCCTTTAGGAATTCTGGCGTGAGAAAAATGCACAGAGAAACTGCATTATTCTTCCCCTCAAAAAATGACAGGGGAGTACTTTGTGAATTTGTTTTAATTGGTTTAGATTTTGTTTTGCCTCTGGGGAATACAGAAAATTGTGAAATGAAGGAGTCCAAATTGCTGTGAACTGTTCAGGTCCAAAGGGGCCTTAACTGTAGTCAACCAAAGTACTCCTCATCCTCCAGTGTACAAAATCACCAGGGTTCACTGCTCCAGTCTTGGGTGACTCTGCACGGGAGGAGACAGAGGGCTTATGGCGGGAGGCACTGGTGAATACATCTGTCAGTGTTTCTTTAGTGACCCTCTAACTATAGCCTTAAGCACTTACATTGGAGGATGGTTCTGGGCATACTGAGAGGCAGACATTCACAGACCTGCTGAACTTGAAAGTCAAATGATCAACTACTCTTTAAGTTCCATGGTGGTTTTATGATTTCATTTCTGCCTTTATTAGGTACCTCTGCCCCTGTGTGTAGGAGCCAGCCCCAGATCAAAACCCTTTCTATATAGTGCAATTAATCTGTCCTGGTCAGGCTCTAAGCATCGGCAAAGCAGGCAGTTGTCCTGAACAAAATGGTCACTGCCTTGTGACCTGCTGTTTGAACACTGGGAGATGGAGGTTGCTGCCACCAAGGGAGCGTGAGGCAACAGCAACTGCCGAGGATGTAAAACAGCAGTTGCTGCTCTGTTTTCCTCTGATAACAGCTTTCCTTCCAGCTTCAGGCCTGCCTGGGCTAGGCTTAAGACTTATAGAGAGTCTTACTCCAAACCAGGGCTGTTAACTTCTGATGATGACATGGTAATGTTCATGTTTAAGTTCATACTGTGGGAAAGGGAGTAATGGAGTGTGGAGTCTGTAAAGTCTTACCTATTTTTTCTTCTGTTTTTATCAATGCAGTGTGGCCGAACATAAATGGTTTCTCATTTTAATTCCGTAAGAGCCAGCTTTTCTTAGCTTGGTATCAGGTTGTGAGAGAGATGCCTGTTACAGGAGAACTAGATGGAATTCTGGCACAGTTGTTCTCTGTGGGGCAATGGCTTCATGGGAATGCCTGGATTTCTCCCTCTGCTACTTCCTCAGCTAGGAAATTTTAGTAAGGAATGTTTTTATTCACACCCAAGTTGAGCCTTAACAAGTTGAGGTCCTGCTGGTCCTTGGAGTGTTGAGCAAGGGAGGAAAGATTTTGATGTTAATTGTTCAAATAGTTATGCCTTGTGCAGCATGGTGAACTCTCATTCCTGCTACTTGAAGGCTTTGGAAATTTGGAAAGCTGTGATATACTTAGTAGTTCATGCACCAGCCTAGAGTTGGACCTCTATGACTTCAAGAGCCATTTGTGTGCATCTTGAAATTTCACCAGCAATTCCTTGCAGAAGCTTCTTTATTTTATTTTCAGTTGAGAGCAGTGAGCTGTAGAGGTGCCATGGTGTCCACGACAGTTGCAGCAAACCCCATTAGAAAATCTTTGTCTTAGGTTATGGAAGGAGGGATTTTCTATACTTTAGCCGATCAGAGAAATTTTGCATCCATTAGACATGCTGTTTTCTACAGCATCTGCCATGAGTAAACCTTTTTTCCTCATGAATACAGCACTGCTGTCATTGTGTTGTTACATGGTTGTACTGTATATCTTACTCTAGGTATGGTACTATAGGTGTATATGTATACACACAGAAATACAGGCAAGCAGTTTGCTAGTATCTTCTCTGTCTCACACAGCTGAGGCAGTCACTACATTGTTTATTCCTTAAGCACTCGTAGTTTTCCACCATCCTATCCTTGTTTGCAATTACGGGAGGGAGGGGGGAAATCTCTTTCTCTTAACACGTTTGCTAATTGGGCTAATTTGTAGTTGGCAAAGCAGAATGAAATCAATCTACTTGTTCTCTTTTAGGCCCTGGTATATCCAGCTATGAGAGTAACCCTGGAGCTCTTGCCAAACCCTTTGATGACTGTCTGAATAAAGTCAAGGAGAGAATACCAGTTCATCTGCATAAAAACACTTCTGTTTATCTGGGGGCTACAGCTGGCATGAGATTACTGAGGTATGGCAGAAATTTGCACTCCTCTGTATGCGTACTAGCATAGCAGTCTGTGAAAACAGAATGTGAAAAATGTACTGGATGCATTTTTATCCATTGGAAATTGGCCATCTCAAAAGGAAATGGAGCCCAGCCAATTTAATTTAATTAACTTTTTTGATAGGGAAAGCGGGGCTGTATAAAAATCCTCTGTTATGCCATATTGAAAAGGAATGCTTGCTTTATTCTGGAGAAGGCAAGAGTTGAATTTTCTCTTCCATATCTGACTTAAAATTCAGTGTTATGTAAACAAATAATGTTTGTGAATATCCGTAAGCATCAAAGGTAGATTAAAGCTAGACACTGCAGAGTTTTCTGAGTGTGAATGTGGAGTAATGTGGCTTTTGGGGTCTGTCTGTGGCTTTAGCCCTGGCACAAACTGGCTTTTAATGTTTGTTCTGTGGCTAAACAGAGTGGGAAGAAAGACTCCAGGACTGTTTTAACCAGTAGCTGTCATATAAGCACTTGGTTCACTAAAAAGAAAAGTATATATAAGAAACAAAACACCCATGAACTTGTATGATAAAGGGTGAAGGTTGTACATAGTGGGGGAGTTACTTGCTGAAATGGTGCTGGATACTTGGCTGTTCCCTATCATAAGCTTCACTTTTAGGGAAACAATGTCTGTTTTTTATTAGGTGATTGTAGGAGTTTTCTTGAGTTGCTAGTCAGTGAACAGTAAACATGAAATTGCCTTTCCAGATGCTCAGTGTCTCATGTTTTGTGAATTGCTTAGGTTGCAAAATGAAACGGCAGCCAATGAAGTCCTTGCAAGCATTCAAAACTACTTCAGAGCACAACCTTTTGAATTTAGGGGTGCAGAAATCATAACTGGGCCAGAGGAAGGGGTGTATGGATGGATAACAGCCAACTATTTAATGGGCAATTTCTTAGAGGTGTGTGGAAAAAACTGCATGCTTTTCTTTTCACTGTTTCTCTCTTACAAATGAGAAGTTTGAGAGGACATGCCTGTTAAAACATCATAGCATCATAGCCATAACTTCCATTTTGCACTGAAATACATAACAGGGTCTTTTTGTGGCAGCAATAGAACAAAGCAAACATAAATCAAAGAAAGTGATGTTACAGGAATTTGATATGGCAAAGGTAAAATTGTTGATCCACAAAACAGGACTCTTCCCTAAATGCCATCGGATGCCTTACCTAGAAACAGAAGCTGCATTGCTCTTAAATGCATTGGTATGTTAAGTGTGACAGGTGTTGATTGTCTTGACAGTGGTGCCAACTAAAGATGTTTTCTTCTGCTTTTCTGTGACTTCCTTGGGTGGTTGCTGTCCCTGCAGCTCTACTGGTAAAGGACCTGCACAGTTTAGGGGTCTCCAAATTGTTTGGCAGTGTTGGCTCGCTTGTCTTAAGCAGAAAAGACTGAAGCAATGAAGGTGGTTAAGTTGGTGTGGCCAAATGTGCCTCAGCTGAGCCAGAAATCACTCATACACAGTTCATTCCAATGCTGCTGGCAAGCTGCAGGCTATGAGCAGTGGGCTGTGATACCAACTGTCTTGTGCAGAAAAAAATGATACCAATATAAAGATACTTATGCCATCCTTGAACTCAGAATAGGGTTAGGCAGGAGACTCATAGCAGAGAGGGAGTCAAATGTGTTGGAAGATCCCTTTTTATATATAGATTTTCAGTATAATTTCATTCTCAGTAGAAGCTGTACCAAGATGATCAACAACTGCTCATCTGCATTCATGGCAGCAGTGTGCTGCCCTTAGCATTAACTGCACTTCTTCCAGATCGTCTTGCTAGGTTGAAAGAAATTTCAACCAAACCCCTGAGTATTGTTAGCTGTCCTGGTTGAATGGTTCCTGTTAGATCATGGCAGTTAATAAGCAGGAATTAGTTGTTGGTGATCTGAGTGATAGCTCATGATGAATGTGTTGTTGACTCTTGCAAAGTTAAGAAAAATGGTATTGTAATCACACATTCTGGAACAGTTTTTTCTCATTGTGTGCGTTTCATGCAACAAAAATGACATCATGAGGCTTCACGGTGGTGTCAGTCTTCTACCACATGAATTTTAATAATCCAAATATCAAATTCCATATGGCAGATTCATAAGGACTACTGAAGGGACTGGAAGATACTGTGAAGCCAGTTTAGTATAGGGAATTGCATGAAGACCTATGTGTGGAATATCACTAGTAGGAGAGAGAAATTTTTACCATTCTTGTGACAGTAGGCTAAGAGTCAAATTCTGCTAGGGGCTGTTAATGGCAATCTTTTACTGTAGAATTTTCTTGTGAGTGTATTTGCTAGCCCATAAAGTTTCTTTTCCCTTCTTGTGCATACATTCATATCATTATGCTCAGTAAATAATATTACAGTAAATACTGAGATAGATAATCATAAAAAAAAAAATCTGTATTCTGCACTGTGACTGTGTAGGATCAAGTACGGAATTTGGGTATGTTTTGGGTAATAGGAAAAATGCCAGCTGATTGGATCAGATTTATTGCTACGACAGTTTCAGTGAAGGAAATGTGCAGATTATGGGTCCTTGTTCTTTCAACTTTAGAGCTTTCATTTGGCTTTTCTGTGGTTTTTTTCACCCTATTTTCACTCTCTTTTTCTGTGTGATGTCTTAATATTCTATTCCTTTTATAATTCTTCCTGCCTTGAAATATGTAAATCTTCATACTAATTCCATCCAGATTTGTGGGTATCTGGACTTCAATTCCCTGCATTCTAGTACAGATATTGATCTGGCTAGTCCTGTGCTTTGATCATTGTGCTGTCCCCTGAGTTGAAAGCTACACTGCATTCCTTTTTCCATCTTTCAAGATCATTTCACTCTGTGAAAGTACATCCCTCTTATGTAAAAAAAATCTGCATTTTTCCTTATAGCTAAGATTTTTTTGAAAGGGTGCAGGACAAAGAGGGGGGGAAATCTCAAAAAGTTAAGAGTAGAAAAGCCTGAAGGGCGAACAAGCAGATGATATTTCTAATTAGGCTTGGTTTTATTTTTACATGTAGAGAAACCTTTGGAGGACATGGGTCCGCCCTTACAGAAAAGAGACTATGGGGGCACTGGATCTTGGAGGAGCTTCCACTCAAATTTCATTTATCCCAGAGGACTCTCAGGAGAACTTCAATAGCACCTTGCAAGTGAAGTTGTATGGTTACAACTACAATGTCTACACTCACAGCTTCCAGTGCTACGGGAGAGATGAAGCTGAGAAAAGGCTTTTAGCATTGCTGCTCCAGGTCTGTTTAAGACCCTTTGCTATGTTGGTCTTGCAGGTGTTCAGTAATTGTCTGAGCAGGTTCTTAGGCTTGTGTTCGCTTCCCTTTGGTGGAGTTTGGAGACCCCAATAAGAGCTCTTACGTGCTTAGTTGTGAACAAATGCACTTAGGTTTCATACAAAGACCTTCATGTTTGTTAAAAATTGGTGAGAGTTTTGTACCATTTGACAAAAAGGCCCAACTAGTCCTGTAAGTGTTCTGCTGATCTTGCCAATGATTTTTTGAGAAAGGAGTATCTATGACTTAAAATGATCAGCAATGTTGTACTGATTGGCCATGACAGAGAAGAAAACAAAAATACGTGCATATGTGGTTTAAAAAGATTCCCATAGTTATTGTCAAATTAGGTCTTTCTTGCTTTTAAGTAGCCTTTATTGTTTGGGTTTTTTTGTTTTTGTTTTTTTTTTCCAGAAATCAAACACCAGTTCCTATGTGGATAATCCATGTTACCCTCAGAATTATAATACTGTATTAATGATCAAGTACTTCTCTGGCAGCCTTTGTACACAGTCTCTGAGACCAGCAAATTACTACCCAAACCAGCTTGTGAACTTCCATGGAACAGGAGACCCAGGTCTGTGCCAGGAGATGGTTTCTCTATTGTTTAACTTCACTGCTTGCAGAGACAGAGAAGACTGTCCATTTAATGGAATACATCAGCCAAAAGCTAAAGGGAATTTTGTGGTAGGTTTGCAAACACAGCATTTCTTTTTGAGTTTGCTTGCTTTTGATTTCCGTAGTTCTGAAAGTAACAGACCTGTCATCTACTCCTTTTCTATAGGCTTTCTCAGGATTCTACTATACAATTAATGCTTTGAATTTATCTGGGCACTTTTCCCTAGCTGAATTCAATTCAAGTATGTGGTTTTTCTGTTCACAGAGCTGGGCACAGGTAAGTAGGTTGTTTGTTTGTTTGTTTGTGGCGTTTTTGTTTTGTTTTGTTTTTTTCTTTTGTATCTGTAAAAGGGAAATATAAAAAGAATATGGACTGGACAAGTACTCAGAACTTTTCAGAAGGTCTGTATCAACCTCAGTGTTTTTCCCACTACGCTTCAAACCATGTAGTATTTTTAGCACGGTTAAACTTGGACTGGGTTTCAAAATTTCATTTCACAGTTTTAACCATGCTGTAAAGATGACATGGAAAATTTAGGAAACATAACATCCTCAATCTTTTATGTGCAGTTTTATGTTTATTTTCATTTTTTACTGCATAAGCTGGATTACTGTCAGAGTCTTTCTTTTTCTAAATCTCCCTCTCTAGTTGTCCACAACTTTACTTGGTGTTTCTGAAAAATGCTAATCAATTCTAATTAGAATCCAAAGTATTCTCTAGTTATAAAAACCAAAAGCATTTGTTTTTCATAATTTACATGTTTTTAAAAAACCTTTTGCTTTCAGCTCCAGTTTATGCTGCCTAAATTTGAAGAAATATATGCTAGATCCTACTGTTTTTCAGCCAATTTCATTTATTACTTGCTTGTATATGGTTACAACTTCAATGCAGAAACTTGGCCACAGATACATTTTCAAAAGGAGGTGAGTAATAATCATTTCCTCTTACTGCTACTTTAATCCAGGGAAGTTTAGAAGGAGACAGAAAACGCAGCAGCCTACAAAGATATAATGGTTGTAAACAGCCTTTGTAAATGATTGTCAAACGTCTGGCATAAGCCAAAGCCACTTTTCAAGCCTCAGTAGCAGTTTCAGCCTGGTTCCAGGGGTTGCAGCTTTACTTGGAGATGCTGCCTAGATTCTTTTAAAGAGCTTTAAGAAAGTATCAAATCATTGTGTTTTAAACTTTGCCCCAGTTTGTTGAAGTAGTGGCTTGCTCTAGGCAGTGATCTGCCTGAAACACCTTGCCGGTCAAGGTCAGTTTGAGCTAACCTTGCTGAGCTGGACAGGAGAACTCCCACTTTTCTGTCTGCTGGCAGAGCCTTGGGGGAACCAGCAGAGCCGGTTTGTAGTCAGTGAGTGGTGATGAAGCAACTAGGGCAGTTTTCATCCTCAGCTGGCACATCCATCTGTGCCGTAATCTGGTTCTCTGGAATAAGAATGTATATCGATGGAGTATTGGCTTTTACTTGGCAGAGGGAGAAAGCTTACAACATTTCTGTAATAGCTGCATTTCTCTCTTCCCTGGCCTCAGTTTTTCTCCTAAAAACCAGAGTACTTGGAGTGTACTTGTATACATCCATTCTAAACCTACTGCTAAGAAATCTTTGCTTCCAAATCAGAAGGCATGGCCACTATCTAAGCTTGGCTGTTACATCAAGAAGTGTGGTCCCCACAGTGCTCTGTGACTCCATCCTTTCCTGTCTGCTACTGTACAGAGCCTTATTCTAAAACCTTGTCCCGGACTATCTCTTAATCTCCATACAGTTTGGAAATGCTTCAGCACTTGCATGCAAAACCAACAGGTTGTAGATTTTCATGGAGTATTCTTAAATGCAGGGTATGCTGGCAGGCTGTGAATGAGACATCATAAGCAATGTTTTCTGAACAGTCATATCTATTACTGGTGCATTAAGGAATCAAGTAGGATTTTCTTGCCTTATTTTGTCTTCTGGTGGACAACCATTAGCAACTCTGGAGGAGTGTCCTAAGTTTAGGCCTTCTACTAGGAATCAGCATAAAGCTTACTTTGGGATCTTAATCTGGACCTCGTGGGGGGTGGATTTGTCTCAATATTTAAATACATCCTGTATTGTCCCCAGCAGATAGGAGCAGCCAAACAGAGCAACATTTTTCTGTATTTAGCCAAGACTATAAAAATACTGAGCAAAATAAAACCCCAGAAGGCTTACTTGAAATTAACACCTCTGTTACCTAGATTTTGCACTAGGGTAATCATGAAACTCCAGAAGGAAAAACTACATTCTCTTAATTAGATCTGCCCCTACTAAAATAATAAGATCTAATGTTAACTGATCAGCTAAGCTACCCCAGAGATAGCAGCACAGTTTCTCCAAGAGTGGAGGGTGGGGTTTTTTGCCTATGCTAGGAGTATATTTCCTTTTAATTAGTGAACACAACCAGTGAAAAGAACTTGTTGCTGTAGCTTTCTTTTTATCAGTTAAACAAAAGGTATTAGGATATACACAACTACAAAAAGGACCAAATACTATAGGCCCTTATGATCTCCTACAACCAGTAGCTGAATGCTTAAAACTGTTCATTAAAGACATTAAATCGTTTATTAAAGTTCATCCCTCAACTTCATCATGATGCTTTTTTATACAAGAACAACAAAAGAGGTTTGGTTTCTCAGATTTGCTTTCCCAAATTTAAGTAAACTACTTATGGGCAGCCATTCAGGCAAACTCATCTCTGTAGGTGCAAAGTGGGATGACTTGTAATAAAGATGGAAAGTAAAATGAGTTTGGGAGAGCTGGTTGGTTGTAGAAGAACACAACTTCAGCTTTGTCCATCAGTAGTATACCCTAGAACTACCTGGAGTGATGGTGGTGCAGGCCCATTGAAAAAGAAAGTAACCTGTGCTAGAGTGTAAACCAAATACATTATCTTGTAGCTGGCCCTCTGTGCAAGCCCTTGTTTAATGAGTTCAACTGATTTCCCTTGAAATGCCCCCCATCCCTTTATTTTTTCACTCTGTTTAACAATACTTTGTTTGTTTTGTTTTGTTTTGTTTTTCCAACTTGTGGTTTGATTTGCAGGAGGCAGTCATGTGTACTTATATTTTATATAAATAGGCAAACCATTACTGGAGCCTGGGCATGTGGGAGGAGGACGAGGGACACTCTATCTTCACCCTTTGATCCTGTGCTTTTCAAGTGGCAGGATGATGATGTAATGAAAAAGGCAGTGGAAAATTCATAAACTCTGATGCTCAAATTGGAAGTGGGGAAACACAGAAAAGCAGGAGGACCATGGAGCAAATACAAACATACCCCCTTTGCTTTTGTTTCACCTGTTCCTACGTAATTTTCCACTTATGTTTATTTTTTAAATGGAAGGGCCTAGTGCTGGCTCATTTGCAAGCACAAAACCAACTGTGGAACAAAAGATGATACGTAGAGTTCCTGCTTTGGGGACTTTACCCTGGTGTCCTCTTTGTCCATGTTGGTGGGACTCTTTGTGGGGTTTTTTGTTTGCTTAAACTAAATAACTTCCTAGGATTTGGCTAAGATGAGGGGCTAATTCTAGGAATTAGCACAGTAGTGCTGATGGTTTTTTTGTTTGTTTGTTTGTTTTTGTAAAGTGTGTTTCTTGCACAGAGGATCCCATAACTGGCTGCCTGCATATATACCACACATCCTTGTACCCATCCATCTAATACCTGTGTCCCACTTCTTTAGCCCAGTGACCAATTTTATTAGCTTCCTCTGGAACTACAAAAAAAAGGTACTTTGAAATGGTTCTGTATCTTCTCTGTATACTCCACTAAAGTTTTCTCCTTGCTAACTTAAAGGGCAGTTGCCAGCATCAGCAGTTGAACTTCTGGAACCTCTTTTCTCTGACTGAAATGTGTATGGGAATACAGGACTTTTCTGTCTTTATTTCAGGTTGGTAACAGCAGTATAGCATGGTCACTCGGTTACATGTTAAGCCTCACAAACATGATTCCAGCAGAAGGCAAGCTGATCCAATTACCTCTGAAACCTTCTTTGTTTGCTGGGCTCCTCGTCTTCCTCACAGCTATGGCATTGTTGTGTCTTCTCTTCCTTGTTTACTTGTCCATTGTATCACATAATCGGAAGAACATCAGTCATGTTGAACATGTATTTATTCCAGAATGAATGCACTTCATGGAAGACAAAAATTGTATAGTGCTATTAGTTGGACTTTATTTTTGGAAAATGGAGGGCAAAATAAAGACAGGCAAAAAGACCTTGTGACCAGAAGCATAAATAGAGAAGAGACACAAAGGAATCTGTGATATGGTGAATTGGAGTGCTTTTGAAATATTTTGGCAATTGTTTCTATAAAACCAGATTGTTCGGTGTGCAGCAGAGAAAACATGGGCAGATAGGTCACCTTGCTTGATAAGGGATTAATAGCCTTTTCCTGCCAGGTATGTATTTTTTTGTTCATTAGCTCTGCGCTAACTGGTAAACTCAAGTGATGATGGATTTGATCATGGCGGTGGTTGTTTAAGATAAAATCAAACAAGTCGGTAGGAATTGTGGGAGGCGGGAACATGGCAGCTGTTCTTGTGTGCAGTGCTGACACTAAAAGCCCCCAAATAATCTAACTTCTGAAACTGGAACAAGCACATGGTAATGACAGGAACTGAAAGGAACAGCTGGGATAGAATTGTTTTTATTGCTGTTCCAAACAGATTGATCCCCACCACATAAAGGTGTAATAAACTGCCAGTGCTTCTCAGGACTTTCAAGACTGTCTTAAAACTGAGCTATATCTTTCAGTACCATGGAGATCTCAGAATGCCTCTGCTATGGTACATAAGATTTGCTTTGAAGGTGGAACAAAATGCTTTCACGCTTTAGTAACTGTACCTAAATTTAACTGTACCTAAATTTAAATGTCTTGTAGTTACCTCCAGAAGCCACTAGGGTTTTCAGTGTCATTTTCTCAGAAATAATTTCACAGAAATACTTTTTGTAGGTTTTCATACTGAAACACTGACCTGTATTCCCCACATATTGTTGATCTCAGACAGTCGCAGTCAGTACTGACTTGTCATGTACATATTATTTCAACTGCCTGGATAGAGTGTCAGACCCGGGACCTTCTGAAGCATTTACATGTTCAAAGCCAAGAGGAATAGAAGCCAGTCTGCAAGCCAGCAGAACACCCTTTTTCTAGTGGGTTTGGGAACACATTGCTAGAACTGCAGTCATGACTGTAGTGCCTTGATCAGCCTTTCCACTGTCCTGGCCTCATTGTTCCTTCAGCAGTGCTGGGATCTACCTAGCAGATGCTTCTGTCAAACACATTAACTCCAGAGCTTTCCTGGAAGTACTGCTGCCTTCATGCTCCAAAGAGCTGACTTCCTTGAAAGCCCAGGTACTCTTCACCAAACCTCTCATTCCCTTAAATCATAAGACTACAATTTTACCCACTGCTCAAGGAGTTCTTCACAGTCAGTGCCCCTTTTACCTGCCTGTCTTTTATATAGCTTTGGTCTTCTTCAGCTGGCTTCTGAAATAACCCTTGAAAAACTCTCCTGCCCCATAATCTGCCATCTCTTCCCTTTTAATTCCTCTTAATATTGCTCTAACATGATCTGTGAAGCCGCAAGGGGAATACATCTGAAGGGCCTTAGAGTTAGCAGAAAGAAGGGATTGTTGTACTCTTCAGAACCTGCAAGAGGAGAAAGAGCATCTCTGCTTCACTTCCCTCCTCCCCTTCTACCATGTCCTTTCACCCAGATTCAGTACCTACATGGAGCTCTGTATTTCCCCAGATGTCTCACATATAGCTGCTGCCACTCACTTTAATACATTCCTCCTTTTCCGTCTTCTTGGGATTGCTTCCCTCTGTGTGTAGTTTCCCTTGCTTGCATCTTACCTCTCTGAAGGGGCGGTTATTCATTTTATGCATGGAGCTTTTCAGTGTAAGAAAGTAAAAACTGAAAGGGAAGTTACCACATTCAACATCTATTGCTAACAAGCTAAAGCCTGTGGGGCTGCCCGAGTAGTGTTTCCACACAGGTGTGTTGCATGTAAGAGATCTACCTGTTGATGCATACACTCAAAAGTCAAGTTAACATTGGATTATGAATCCCAATGGCATATAATGTGATTGCTATCCCAACTTCATCTATTGCCTGTATTGATTAGTTTGTGAGATAGGAGAACAATGGCCAGTATTTTTACTCATGAATAATATTTTCAATTTCTGTCTTTTTTTCTATATCATCTTCTTACTTTCAGGTTTGGTTATGGGGATGGGGTTTTGTTTTCTTTTGTTTTTCACAGGCTGATAAATGATTTGAAAGGAACTAAATATCTTTTCAAATGGAAAAAAGAAAAAAAAAAAGGAAGAAAAAAGTTAGTGATTTTTCAAGAGGATCAGCAGTGAGGGCTTTGTCCCTTCTCTGTTGGTATACTACTCCATCCTGTCAGTCTTACTGGAGTAGCAGTACTTAAAATAAGGCAGAAGATATTACAAGATGATGAAATGTTCTGTGGCACCCAAGTTACATGTGATAGAACATAAAATTTTAACTTCAGAATGCATGGACATTACAGAGGATGGCATGAGATAAAAGCCTTATCTTATTTTGTGTGATTGATCTGGAACTGCAGTTAAGGGTAAAAAAAGACAGTTGGATGACACCATTAAAATGTTTTCTTCAGCTGCTAAATTTCTGCTGAAAACTATATTCTAGGATATTTACTTGCCCTACAAAACCTTTGCTTGTGAAGGGTAGGGCTATTCAGACATGGTTTTGCACAAACGGAACGTGCTTGGAAGTTATTCTCCTTAGAGCTGGCAGCTAAAGAACAAGTAAATTTGTTCAAAAATCATTTGGACTTCCAGATGTATTTGGATAGAGCCAGTATCTGTTCAAAGAATGCCTTCCCTCCATGAATCACCTTCTGTTCTCCTTTTCCAGTAGTTCCCTCTTCTCCCTATGTATATAATCTCTCTCCTGTATCACCAGGATACCCACCTGCTCAGTGTTATCTCTCCTGTTAGTTTCAGCTGGGAAAGCTGAAACTACTATGAACTTCCAGCCAGGCAGTTACACCACCATAGCTTATAGCTTCTTCCAAGCAAGCACCGTGGCTGCAGTTCAGCGTTAACAGTAAAAAAACATGGCTCGGACACACAGCCAGCTTTGCTACCCTTGGCTGTAGTGGTTGCTTCTGGAGGGGAAGTGAAGCAAGGGGGATGGTAATGGCTTCAGTAACCATGGCTAAATCCTCCCCCAGCTGTGAATCAGAACTAGATCAACGGGTGTAACATTGTCCTGTCATCTAGAGCTGAACAGATCCCTGGGAGAGCCAGTGTAGTGAAGAGCATTTGGGAATGTGTACAAACTATAGGTCGTTTATCTTTTTATACTCTCTACTGCCTGCTTAATAAAATTAAGTTGTGAAAAGCTAAGCCAAGTGTACTTTTTATTTTTTATTTGCCCAATACCAATATTTTCATCCTGATAGACAAGTAATAAGTAATTCTTATTAGAGGGACAGGAAATCTCTGAAATTCTTTTCTGGGGGATGGAAATTTGCAAGCTGCAAAACTGATCCTGCGAGATTCTGGAGTGGACAGTGCTCCTTATCTCCAGAATCCATATTCTCAGCAAGGAAACCCTGGTGGTTAAAACCAAGCCACTTTTCTGATTTATTTTTTTTTAATGTATATTTACACAACACTTATAAACACATATAAACAACTTCTACTTTTAAACACTGTTAATGTTTCACTCAGGGACACTGACACTTTATAGGGCTTCTTTCAGGTTCACCGCCATAATGTCAACCTGAAAGCTTATGTGCCAAAGAGAAGCAGCAATTCCCAGTTATCACAGGCAGTCGATCAAGATACAGATTCGTTAGAAAAAGAACTGTTGGGCATTAGGAATAGGGACAGGATTATGTAATATTAAAATCCTCATGTATGGAGAAGCAGCAAGAAATTAATCCACCAGAAGAAAGAGATGAGAAATGAAATGCATATGGACATTTCTCAAGGGGGGGGTGAAGTGACAAACTTCTCCTAAAGCAATATGCAAACTTGGCAGAAGAAAACAGTAACTTGTACTGCATGGCATAACTCAGCATTGATAAGATCAGTTTAGAGGACAGAAAAGTTAACAATGCTGAGTATGATAGTCTACCATACCCAAATTTGGGGAGTTTTTATTCAATTTTTAAATTCAATTATTATTTCAGGAACAGTGTGTGTTCACTTGGATGGCAGTGAAGTCTGTGTATCACAAAAAGTGCTCACCTGTACATAATTTGAGTGTTTTTCTGTGTAGTAAGAGGAAGACAGTATCTAGTTACTTGCTCAGCAACTATCGTGGTTTAACCCCAGCCAGCAACTAAGCACCACGCAGCCGCTCACTCCCAACCCAGTGGGATTGGGGAGAAAATTGGGAAAAGAAGTAAAACCCATGGGTTGAGATATGAACAGTTTAATAGAACAGAAAAGAAGAAACTAATAATGATAATGATAACACTAATAAAATGACAACAGCAATGGTAATAGGATTGGAACATAAAAATGATGCGCAGTGCAGTTGCTCCCCACCCACTGACCGACACCCAGCCAGTCCCCGAGGGGCGATTCCCCACTCCCCCTCCCCAGTTCCTAAACTAGATGGGACGTCCCATGGTATGGAATACCCTGTTGGCCAGTTGGGGTCAGCTGCCCTGGCTGTGTCCTGTGCCAACTTCTTGTGCCCCTCCAGCCTTCTCGCTGGCTGGGGATGAGAAGCTGAAAAATCCTTGACTATAGTCTAAACTCTACTGAGCAACAACTGAAAACATCAGTGTTATCAACATTCTTCACATACTGAACTCAAAACATAGCTCTGTACCAGCTGCTAGGAAGACAGTTAACTCTATCCCAGCTGAATCCAGGACAGCAACATTTGTGCAGGCCTAGTGTATGTTTTAATTTAAAAGTGTATTCATGGGAAAAAATGTTTTTAAGTCCTGAATTGTTTTCAGTGTTTGATGCTAAGGCACAGCGCAAGTTTCATGTTTTTTATGATGCCTCATCCAGTCGTTTATGATCTTAACATGCAGAAATGCATGCATGCAAGTTATGTAGAACAGATGCAACCCTCACATACTCAGTAAGTCATCAGTGCAGTCACTAGTGACATTTGAGTATCTCTGCCATAAAACATGCAAAGGTCATTAAAAAGACCAAGATTTTAGGTAACCTCCGTTCCTTCCTCTTAAGTAGTACTGGAGAGTAATGTTAGATCAAATGAAGAAAATGAAAAATACTGCTTTTCCAAATCCCTGCAAAATGAAAGAATCCAAAAGCCATCACCTTTTACTGACTCAGCCTAGAACATGTTTAAATATGACTGGTTTAATACATGTATTAATATATTACTGTTGTAAAGCACAGTAAAATAATATTGCTATAATGGTATTCTGGATGGGACTTTCAAAAATACCTGATGGAGTTAAGTGCTCATTAACATTTTAATGATCTATTCCCTGGGCACTTGCATAAAGTATCTACACCATTTAAAAGTGCTTAAGTGCATTTTTTTACTTGCTCTCTTTTATTGTAAAACTGTACCAACTATGCTTTAGACAGCTAAATTGGGATGTTTCATTCCACTTTTGACAGAAGAGCCGGAAGAATGAAGGTCAGATCTATTTTCCAGCAGTGCTCTGCAGTACGTTTTGCTACTTTTAAAGCTTTTCTTCTCATAGCAAATGTTTTGGCTGACGTTTAGGCGAGTGAAAATCCTGCAAAACGTGATCCACGTGCATGTCATTATCTTGATGTGTGTCCATCAAGCCAGCCCAGTGAACTGACGCTCCCCACGGAACTTTTCTGCCATGCCCTGATGGTCTGCAGGGCCCCCAACACCCCGCTTTCCCTCGGCAGCAGTGCCGCTTGGCAGAGCGGCATGTTCTTGCGTGAGGGCTGCGGGGAGCTCAGGCTAAAACGCCAGGCTGGGCTCCTGCAGTGTTGCGAGGGTGCTCTTTGGCTGGGCGTGCGGTGGAACGTCTCTCCGCCCGGCACACCGTCTCTGCAGCTCTGCTTGAGGTTGGAAAGGTCCGTCCCGTATGCACTGCGAAGAGCTCGCACTGTGTCTTTGCTCTCTAGGAAATGTCACTCACGTGGCAATAGGTACCAGGGAATTAAAAACAAGAGCAGTCCCCGTGCTTGTCTCTGGAGCTCGGAGATAACACGGTCCAAGAACGGAACAAACACGTTCTTCTGGCGGCGCACGTGTGCGTCCGTGACACCGGCGGTAGCGTGATGCCTTCTGCCAGCACTGTAGGAGGCGACTCGCCCACCATTAAGAGCACAGGCCAGACGCTCGATGTCTGCATACAGAGTGCTACCTCTCCCTCCGTACTGCGGTGCATATAATGCAGAGTCAATTCAATGTTCCTTTTGTTTGCTTTCGAACTACAAACTTTTCACCATCAGGTGGCAGCACCTACTAAGCTGAATTATAACGCTGGTTTTACCCTCTCTGGGAGTTTGTTCTGAAAGCGTACTCCTCCCGCCCCCTTCCCAAGCCCTTTTTGCCTTTGTTGTGTCGTATCCAGAGCACTGCCCTGCGTATTGCCAAGCTGCTCTTTCAAGTGAGGGGCCAGCTCTGCACTGCGATACGACAACCCGTGCGCAATCTCGGTGTGTTTTGTACTCCTCCCCTCATTACAACGTTCTGCCTTTCGAAGAGGAGGGCGATTTTGAGAAGTTGTCTCGGAGCGTGCTGGCTGTGCCCTGCCCGCTTTCTCCCGAGCTCCAAGGCAAGCCCGCCAGCTTCGCCACAGCGCGGACCCGGCCCCTGGACGTGCTGTCCTCTCCAGCAGCCTTCTCCCACCGGGCCGCTCTCCCACCGGGGCTGGAACCAAAGCCGCGCTCCGCAGCACGGGGCCAGCGGCCGGCCCGGAGCACCGAGGCCGTCCTCACCCCCCCCGAGCTCGGGAGGAACGGCAGCTCGCCGACGCGAGACAGCGGGACCGGCTTCGGGCAGCGCCTGCACCCACGGGCGGGCTCCCACG